ACAAATAAATAAAATTTGTTTCGTTTAAAATCCGTTTTATACCCATTTTAAATTGGAATTGATAATTTACAAGAACCCTTGGTCACCGCAAAAGCAAATTTGAAGTGTTTTAAAAGCATTGAATTCAAATATTTAATGAATATTAAGAAATAAATTCGATATTTTCGATTTGTTTAACATTGTTAAGGACAATTTCCATAAAACACTTTAAATGCCAACAAATCAAATACCGACCATAACAATTCGAAATCGCAAAATCTAGAAATCGGTGTGAGTAATGTGTAAACACCTTGCAATATACAAATATTTAAATATTTAAGTACGGGTATTGTAATTTCAAAGTCTTTTTAAATAAAATTATACGTCGATGGCTTATATGGGTAAGACCCCTATATCCAACATAAAAAATATTTAAATTAGTCAGTAATTAAAAGAAATATGAGATAGAGGGGTTTTCCCTTAAGCAAACAATGTTAAAAATTTTGTCATACAAAATTCATAATCAATTTTGTTCCTGTTAATAAGGAACTTATTTTTAAGCAAATATTTTAAATTCCCTCCAATTCAAATATATACAATATTGAAAAAATAAGTCTTTTCAAGAACAAACAGATGGCAGCACGTTTTAAATCTTATGACATTGTAAATCATCATTGAATTTAATTCCTTATTCTATACTTTGTAATTCATAATGTGTGCCCAGCGTGGATGTGTATATGCCTTTGCTTGTGTACAATATGTGTATATGTACTTTGTATTCATGTGTAGTTGTGTATAATTTAATAATATTAAATAAAAATAAATAAAATTGATGTTGAGCAATTTTAAAAATAAATGTGATTTAATGCTCTTATAAAATTTCAAATGGATTAAATTTATTATTTCAATTATAGTACCAATGGGAAAAATAAAAATAATAATTTTTATTCTTGAAATGAGAAAAGGTAAAACAAATAATTTAGGAATAACAAGTTTTGTTTTTGACACAACAATTTATTATTCTGTCAAAGGTTTTTGTCAAAATAATTAAAATCTACAATTTATGCTTGCAACAGTGAACATTTTTCATAGTTAAATTTGTTATTTTTTCGTAGTATCAAGAGTCACATGAGTCATAATTTGTGTTATAGAATAGATGACATTTATAACGAAAGGCAAATTGCTTCTAACATTTGATTTAAGAGCAAATGACGCTCTGAACTTATAACGTAGTGGATGAATAACACTCTCAACTTCACCAACCTATACAACTTAGTATGGATGAGTAGCGTAACATTTATTTCTTCACAAAACTGATCGCTCAATCTTAATTTTTGATTTCACCGTGCAGAGTGAATCCAAAATTTTCTTATTTTATTATTAAATTTTGAATTTTTCAAAATAAAATTAGCAAAAACCTGTAATATCTGACTTTCTTAAAATTAAAATCCTTATAATCACAAATTATTTCTAAAACATATTTTACGAGATTTTTCTGTTAATCTAAAATTTTATTTTAAAACTTTTGGAAAACTATAATTTAAATATTCAAATTAAGAATATTAATTGGATTATAAGAGATCAAGAGTAATTTTAATCTCAAATAAATATTTAATAAATATCAAAGCTTTAACCATTTCGACCGTACTATAATTTTATATTAACACAAAATTATTATGTAAATTTCCTAAATTTATGAATTTTTCAAAGGATATGGAAATATTTTTTTAGTTTGCAAAGTATAGTTGAAATGAACGAAAAAATTAAATATTAAAAACAAATTATATACGTAAAACCCATCCTTAGAGAATCTAAAGTTATGGTAAAGGTAAAAAAACTTAAATTAGATTAAAAAAATTAATTTCATTAATCGAAATTTTTATTATGTATGAGAAAATGTGAAATTTATGCATTTAATACACAGAAACAAAAATATTAAACTGTTAAATGTTTTGTTCCTGTAATTACGAAACTCCTAAAGCTGTTATATAAATTACTTAATTCAATATTGCTGATTACAAGTTCTGATCACTGGCGAATGTTAAATGCCAAAAATCTCAACTCTTTTATAAGCAGCTTCTGCCGTTGCATATTAATGTGAAGATATGAAGATCCAAAGCTATCACAATGGACCTATCTTATCTATGTGTACCATATGGTCAACCTAATTTAACCAAATCTTTTTATTGTTATTTGTATATAATTAATGAATTCAGTGGTTATGATTTCTATGTCGAACAATTTAATATTAATGAAGTATTTATTCTAAAATCATAGCTTCGAGATTCATATTATTTATGAAGTAAAAAACAGTGATGGAAGTCTACCAAAATTTTTTAAATATTTGTGGTATTCAAAACACTCCTTTACTTTTCAGTAAAAAAATCTAACCAAAAAATATTTTTTGCTGTGTAAACACAAAGAATAGCATAAACATAAAAGGAATTGTTAAATAAAAAAAAATAAAAAACCGGTTTCTACGTCTCGTAACATATACAAAAGCTATTTTAAGATTAATAAAAATTTATGAGTATTGCAAATAAAATTTGATAAAAATTGCTTTATAATTTTTATTCATTCCTATTATGAAAAAAACTTCACATACAAGTATACATTCAGTCCACCCTACACAGTTGTCTCCTTCAGTTAAAAAACAAGGTTGTATACAATTTTCGAAAAAGATTATTTCTTCCAAAATTTTTTTAAAGTTAACATTTGGCGGATTAGTAAATTTTACAAATTCTGCTTTTCTTTTTGTAATTCTCTCTCTTACTTTCATATTCTTTCTACCTTTATACTCTTACTCAGTGTCTGTCATTGTGCTTACAGTAAAGCTAGGAGGGACGTGTATTATACCAAATCGACTTTAGTTATTAGTTCAATATTTCAAACATTCAATAATTAAAATATTTTGTAAAATTATTTCAAAATTCAAAAGAAAGTAGCCTAAGAAATTCTAGTTGTAAAATTGCACATTTTACTGAATTTATTAAAAATTTTTTATTTGGATAATTCTCATTATAAATCAACATGTATTTTAAAATTGCATACTTTTAGGATACAAAAAAATTAATAAAAGAAAAATGTTAATGGTCGAATTTGATTAAGCCAAATAAGGTAAACATTTGAATTATTTACTAATAACTAGAAATGATTAAAATTTTAGAACGCTACTGTTTATTTTCTAAAAGAAGATGGTGTCAAAAATGAGAAAAGCAGGTCTAACATAACGGTAATTACAACGGCCATTTTTATTATATAAAGTTTTTTGTTCTGAAGTAGATCTAGATAAAATCTAGAATTTCTTTAAAAAATTTAATTGTTTTATAAGATTGTCCATTTTTCGGATATACAATAAATACAACCATCACAACTCTATAATAAATTACAAAGGTACACAGCCTAAATCATCTTTTATTTGAGTAAGAATTTCTAAAACTCTTAAAATAAATAAAAATTTTCGATTTAAGTATTTCAAATTGAAATAGTCAATTTTAAGAATTTCTTACTTTTCTAATGGAATTAAAGACAAACCTTTTTGAATTATCCAAAAATTGCCGTTTACCTTAAGAATTATAATAACAATTTTTCAGTAGCAAATTGCACATCTATTAAAAAAAAAAGGATATACTTTGAAATATTTGAATAAATAAAAAGGCAAAATTGAAACAAATTTCTTATAAAAATTAAAAATTCATTACTTTTTTTTCAGAAAAAATAAATACAAATGCTTATTCCGGAAATTATAAAAACCGGAAATTAAATAAAAGCATAGATAAGAGTTAAGTTGAAAAAAAAATGGTTATTCTAAAAATGCATGCATTTTTAATATTGTTGTTTTGGAAAAGAAAAAATTTTGAAATCCAATGTGGGCAGCACAATTATAATATAGCATTTCCGCTGTCAATAAGGAAAATTGGCAAATTAAGCTTATATTTGCTCATATTAAACAAATGTAATATAGGATTATACCATTTTTAAAAATTAGATCGCATATCAACAACAATTTCATATAAAATGTTACATAGGCCGAACCATATGACTCGCATTATTAAAAGTTATCAGACTAAAGCTAAACTTCTAAGTAAAGCTTAAGTACGAGTACATGAGAGCAAAACTAAGCTTCTCATATTATATGCCCGAAACCTACAAACAATTACTCAGTATGCTCTATATTTTAATCTAAATAACTCAGAGTGACTTTATCTTCTGCAAAATCCGCGATTTCTTCAAAAATTTTCATTCAGCATCACTTTAATCTAAATTGTACATTTCATAAGTTGAAGAAATGTCGTTTAAAAAAAATGTCATAGAAAACAATTAAAATAACAACAGTTAGTATAACAAGTAACAATATTTTAAAATGAATTTTAATTAACGATTTTTTGACCATGCAATTAATGCCGCAACCATTATGAAAACCATTATGTGGCTTATTATGAAAATTCTAATTGAATTTTCGAAAGAGAAAATTACTCGTATAAACTCTAATTAAACAATTCTGAAATCGTTTTTTTTTTTATTTTTCTCTAAAATTCACTGAAATTTTAAAACAATCAATAATAATTATGGAAACAAAGACCTGGACTAAACAAACTAAAAACTTGAACAGAAATAAATGGAAACAATTTTGTTATTTACCAAATGCAAGGAATGAATCAACAATTTTTCACAATAAAAATATTTATTCACAAGAACAAATGTACGGGTAATAGAAAAATTCAAAATGAAATATTAAAGGTCATTTATCATTCTGATAAAATGAGCTTGTTAGACAAATCAAATTGATAGAATGAAATTAAAAAGAAAAAAAAGGCACGTACCGGGCGTGCAATTACTTCAATTTTTATAAGATATAAAAATAATTTTTATTTTACACATTTTACATTAGATATTGCAAGAAAAATTGATCAACATAAAAATAGTTGAATTACACTCATTCACATACAAATTATTTCAACCCACACACACATACATACATTAATTTTATTTGCACAAAATAAGTAGAAAATTTTACTCACCTGCTTGAAACCTTTTATCATCACATAGTTTATTTTCGAATTTCTTTGCACCTGAAATTGTGTTTTCATACAGGGCTTTTCTATCCTCTGATAAACATTTCTGTGTGTATGTATTAAAACATGCCATTCCCTTTTTAAATACCCTAGAATCAAAAAAAAAAATAATGTACAAATTTAATTATGCTTTAATATTTTTATAAAACATAAGTGGAAAAAATATAAGGAATCGGGAAAATTCTTAACACGTTTCCAACAAATTTAGAAAAAAGGTATTTGTTAAGGTGGATTTCAATTTAATGTCCAGCCGCCCGATGTTTCAATTGTTTTTCTCAATTTTGCAAAAAAAAATTTATTCTAACGTCCAGATAATTAACGACAAGGCCTTTCTTTTGTACAAAAAAATTTCTGAGCAAGATAATTATTTCTTAAAAACAAAATTCTCTATCTGTCCTCTTCCCTCCTTTCGAAACGAGAAAAAATATTTTTAGAATCCAGCAAAGAAAGAAGTATAGCGGCTCTCCAACTCAACCATGTTGAAGCACAGGCATATGTCATAATTGTAAAATGGTTTTTTAAATTGATCGTAGTTTTCTCCACAAGCGTACATTAACTACATTAATAAATATAGCGCCATTATTAATTTCGTAATTTACTTCAATGTACTGCCCCTATCGAATTATCGCCTTCTGCTATTAGATAATATTGAATTTTCGGCAACTTATTTCTTTTTAACTAAGGCAAAGACCCGCTTCTTGCAAAATCTATTGTTTTAAGTTTTAACTCATCTAGTTGACTGTCAAACTTACAACCAACACTTCTTTATTTTTCGACGTTCTCCTATAAGTATGCAATATTTAAATAATTTTAAATTATTTTATAAAAGACATGTGTTAGATTACAAATAATTTTTCGGTTTTAATTCAAGTTCATTGTTTTCCATAATTATTTGATTGGAAAATAATTTCCACAATCGAATATTTAAAATTATCGTATAAGTATTAAAAAACAAAGCACTTGTAAGCATTACAAAAAAGTTTTCTGCTTAATAAATATTTAATAAAAGTCAAAACATATTTAAAATCAAGTAAAACTGAATTGAAAAAAAACAACGAAAACTTAATTTGAAAACTTCATCAAAGTGCATTATCTAAAATAATAACCTTTTTTTCTGTTATTAATGCTGTTACTTTATAGAAGGTTATTGAATTGAAAAATGCACTTAAAATTAAGTGCATTCTATTTTTAAGCACTTATATGTAAGTATAAACAACATTAAACATTCAATGTACCTACCCATAATAAACACATAAAATTATTTACAACAACAATTTCGAAAAAGAGAGAGTTGAACTTTTTGTATTAAGTGATTAATGCTAATGCCCTGCATTTACCATCAGTATAAGAATTTTTTAAAATAAAATTATTTTTAAATTTGTAAAAGATTTTCTCTCATTACATGCATTATAATGTAAAGTTAGACTGTAATTGTTTAGTAATACGGCGTCTTAGAGTTAAAAAACTTATCTACTTAAAACTTTTGTAAATATTTCTGGGAAAATACAATAAAAATTATTTTTAAAATCGATTGAATTATTTTTAATTGTAAGAAAGATAATAATAGTTGTAGAAGGTTTCCGTACAGGAAAAATTGACAGGATTTTTGCAAATTAAAGCTTCAATACCAAAACATGTCCGATACGATTTATTTGGGACAAATGGCGTTGATTTGAATACGATTGATTTATTAGGATCATCGTTATGCTGTCTGACATTATTTTTCAAAAGTTTTTACGAAATCCTCTTGAAATATGTAAATACAGGAAAGTTCCATGGATAAATTATCATAGGGGTGGAAGGAAGCAGTATGCTTGCTTGTAATATGCATACAATTACAATGTATGCACACATATATTGTAATCTTTTAAAGATACAAATTTAATATTTTTTGTAAAATTATGACTTGACAAATAAACAAAGTGATTTGACAATTTCTACATATTTGAGCGATTCTCAAACAATAATTTTCTCAGGTTTCTCTCCTATAGAGATAAGCTGTCATTAATAGCCGATCATTGATCTGGTATGTTGCGCTGTCGTGAAATGATCTCTTATATTGTTTTTTTTTTTCATCAACTTCTCTCGGGGAATGTTGTTTACAATAGCTTGAGACCGACGACTAGAATATTCCAATTGTAATTCTATGTGATCTTGGTCTTTGTAAAAGTGCTCTTAGGGCGACACACTCTAGTAATTTAAATTATTTTTTATATTATATGCTATAATTTATTTAGTAATTTAATATTATATCACAATTTCTTTTGGTATTTTATTGTACTTTCACACTATAATACACTCTAATCTCTCTACTAACCATCGCTTCTGTTTTCTCATTAAATGGTGGCGATTTTAACTATAGCTACGTTTTGAACGTCTAAATAACAATTGAAATTGAAAATTTCTTCTATGTGAAATAGAGAAAGAATATGTATTAAAAATTATTTTTATTACGGTCCTTTTCCAAATTATTGTAAGGTTTAAATATTCAAAATGAAAATTTATGACAATCTGTATTTGGAATTACGAGATTTAAAAAATTTTTACATAGATTTCTATTCTCCATTAAGTTGTTTATTTTGCAAATCTTTTTTATTTTATTAAGCCTGACAAAACTTTTTGAATTTCTTGTGTATATTTTTAGGATTTAAAGGAGAAAAATAATTGTATAACACTTTAAAAATTACAAAATTTTGACAGCATTTCCAAAAAAAAATATTATTGACTTAAAAAATAAATTCTACTTTTATTCTTTATTTCATTTTATCTTCTTTAATATGGGAGTTGTTCTTGTCTACTGTATAATCAAATTAAAAATATATTAAATTAAATGTGTTCATCAGATACAAAAAATCATCCAATGAAATGATGCCTATTTTATAGTCCACAGATTTTCAAATATCTACATATAATTCAATCTATGGACTCTACAGTCTGCAATACATACATTGTTTATATGCGAAGGATGTTCATGCGAGTGTTCCACGTTAACTAGATTGTGCTAAATTTTATTTATAGATTATTAGTAATTTATTTATATTTTATTCATTTCCTTCGTAGGAAGTCTTCATATATGCGATGACCTTCATTTCATATACCAATACATACAAACTATGCGCTCTTCTACTGAAGAATAAAAAATCAAATTTAATTCATTTATATTTTTTTATTAAATCTGTTTTAAAGCTTACATATGCAAATATATATGTATACATATAAAAGTACTATTCATAATGTCAGGACTTTTCAATTCACAACTCTAGACTTTATTTAATTCTAGACATAAGAATAAAATTATGCTAAGTTTGAGTTAATCAAATAAAATTTTATTCTATTGTGCTATGGCTATATTAAATTATCATAAAAAAATTCAATTAAAAAAAGGTGATTCTAAAAGTTTATAACAAAAAAGGATAAAAGGATAAAACTGATAAATTTATTGTATTGATTTTTTTTAATGTTTATTATTATTATTATTAAATTTACAAGGATTTGAAATGAGATTTCAAATCTTTAAGATTTAGAAAGAATTTAAAAATTTTTATGCTTAACCATAAATTTTATTCAAAATATTCGATATCTGCGTTTAATTCTGAAATCCCATGTCATAGAATATGCCTACATAATGTGAAAGGTGTGCCTAGATTAAAGACATTAAAATGTGCGACTAGATTAATGTGAATTCGAAAATCAATAAATAAAAAGATTGTATAAAAGACACCAGCAATACGATAAGAATGAAAACTAATTTCAATTATTCTTAAAAAATTACGTTCATCCCCAAAAATTCCAAAAAAATTACCTCACAGGTGTTGAAATGTACACAGACAAAAAGTCTGCCTGTAGTTAATCAATACTGAATTGACCACAAACAAAATCTTTTTTTAGGTAAGCGGGTCGAATTTCACAAAAAAAATTCAATGAACTGTTGAATAGGTCCCTACCATATTGAAAATGTTTCTTTATAGTCACCTTAATAAATTTTTATTATATACTTAAAAAAAAAAGAGATTACAAATATGCACGACCGACATATACGAAAAGAAAGTCATGTGTCAGAAAAAATCTTCAAAATAATAAATAAGAAGACCATATTCTTGGATCATAAATCACTAGAATTGTAATATAACCATTAATTTTGAAGAAGATATGTGGCTGATGCTCTATATTTATGTAGAGAAAATGGAAACGTAAAAAGATGTCTCGGTAATTAAGATCATAATATGTTTTTTTAGAATAAAATTAATCATTCTCTTCTATTCATGTAACCATAGAGTTTTTTACGTTAAACAAACTTGGCCATAGAATTACGTGGAATTCGTGAAGAAGTAGAGTAAATATAAAAACAAGTTATGGTTAAAAGAAGGTTGTATTAATCAGCACAAAATTTTTTAAAAATAATTTTTTTATTTGTAAAATTTTTGCAATTTCAAAGGCTCTTGTCAGATTTTAAAAATATTATTATTTAAAATTATTAAAATTATTTTAACTTCTTAATTTTAAATGCAATCCATTAAATTTTTCAGGATAATTTAAATCATAATCAAATTATAGAACTAAAGAAGAAGACGAGCTTTATTATGAAAGAGCGATGGTAATCCGAACAACGATACCGCATTGTATTCACCTTGGAATGGTGTATATGGTTTAGCTACAGAAAATGGAAAAATATAAAATTTAGTTCCCGTTCATGAAAAATATTGAGATTAAATTTTAGGCGGTTAAGTTTAGATCCGCTTAAATTCAAATGACGAAGCAAAGTCTTTTCAAAAACTCAAAAAACGGAGTGAATTTGTATTGCAATTGTAAAATTCATAATTTACGCGCAAAATTTTAATGCCACGACGGAATTGAAAAGAGATTTTTTAGTTGGACATAATAATAAGTTTCTTTAATGAAAAACTTTCCAAGAAACAGGACACAAAGAATTCTTTTCATTGTTATAATTAAATTTGCCCTACAATGATAGTATAATTATTGCATCCCCATATCATTTACAATTCAAACATTTTGGAATTACTTAAACCATTAAATATTACAGGATCGTTTTTACTTTTAGAAATTTTTTCTCTTTTTGACATGGAAAGCT